TTAATCTACCGCTCATTTGGAAAGCTGTCTCATCACAAGAAGAACGAACAAGAAACTTGTGTGTTGCTCTTTTAAATAATTTTATTCTTACTTTACAATTTAAGTGTAACAGTGTAATAAACTATCTAAAACTGTTAATTTGAATCATCATCTGCTTCTCCTTATCCCATTTATTTGTTGGTCGGCGTAATATGTTTTTCTCTTCCATTCATCTCTGTTCGCAGTCATCTCGTTATTTACTACCTTTCTCACCATATCATCTTTCACACAGTTCATCCATCTCTTTTTCGGTCTTCCTCTACCCTTATAACCATCCACATTCATATGTGTGTTACATAGTGTGTTCATAGGATATGATCTCCATTCCTACGCATTACATGCCCATACCACGATAGACGATTACTCTTTAATCTCTCCGACATGTTAATTTTAATCTATTTTCTCTTAATTTTAAGTAAGCTCTTCTGGAATAATAAATAATAATTATATATTTTGTATTAATTCATTATTTGTTACTGTACTCGAATAATAGTAATATTTAAACGCATGTTTATAGTTGAATTATTTTAGAACTTACTAGAGAATTGTCAATCAATGTCATCTCAATGAATTTTAAACAAAATTCTTTTCTAATATATTAGAAAAAAAATGATTTAATATTATAATATTAATTCAGCGAGACACCAACTACATAAGCCCTTCATTAAATAATAAATAATTTTATTGAAGAATATATCTACCCTTGTATATATTTTGTATAAATTCATTATTGGTTACTGCAATCTAGTTCTTATCCTAATTTTATTAAAGTACGCTAACGGTATACGATGGCAGATACCAGTGGAAGAAGATAATATAAGAATGAAGTCAGGTCAGTTAGCACATCGTGATAAAATCACTTGGTATCCAGGAGGAACCGTATGGCGGTCAATCAGACATAGTACTATGTCTGGTCGACCGCCATGCGGTCATGCGCCTTTGCGGTCATCCCCCATTACTAACTATAGCGCCATGCGCCTAAGTTAGTGATGGGGTTATTAGTCCACATTATATACAAACCTTATCCCCGCATATTGTTCTAATGGATAATAATGGAATGATCCACCCACCAGCGCTAATAGTTAACGCTCGCGGGGCACCAGTGGAGGATGATAAAATGAGCATGAAGTTACTGCATGTAAATTGACATTTTACAACAACGATTTCAAGGAGGAACCGCGTGGTGCTCAACCTGACATGGTACATTGCTAGCTATGGGGTTAGCCCACTTACCTAACAATGCCCTCGCGCTAAGATTAGTACTTACTAACTAGTAGGTCAGCCATACATACATATATACATACGTACAATCATGTAACAATCTAGGAGTTATGTTTAAAAAATAGGTCATAGTTTACATTACAGCTGCAACGGTGGTTTATGTTTGTAATAGTAACAGTATTTGTCAAAACAAATCTCTACAGTGACCTCACAGTGTAAATATGAGTGTGTATTGAAACTCAGCGACTTAGCAGTATTACAATAACAAGTGCTAACAATTTTTATTGATTTTCAATAGTCTACTATTGAATGTATTAATTTCATTTGTAATCAAATAGTATGACTTTTCTATAAATATAGATAGCCTTACTTCCGATTGTTGCAGATTCAATTCCACACGTTAAAAATATTTGTTTGTATTAGTCTGGGTGATTTCTATGGATATTAAGTATGTATTTACAAAAAAAATAATCCAAGTATTTATATCAGTCACCATAAACAAGACTGACATACATATGAAATCTAAATATGTATAACTCAAAGGTGAGACTGACATAGTGATCTATCAACGCATAGCCCAAACCACTGACGTTCGGGGGACTGAAAATTGGAAAAAGAAAAAAGACTTGAAAAAAGACGGGTCGGGCTGAAAATTGGCATGCAGGTAGATGCTATGACGTAGGCATCCGCTAAGAAAGGATTTTGATTAATTCTACCCCCAAAGGGATAAAATAGGGGGTGAAAGTTTGTATGAAACTTTGTCAATTTTAAACCGATCGAGCTGAGACTTTGCATGCATAAAGTTACTATGACGTAGGCATCCTCTAAAAAAGGATTTTATTAAATTCCACCCCTAAGCGGATAAATTAACGCGAGCGAAGCCGCGGGCAAAAGCTAGCAATTATATAAATTGTCTGTATAGTCACGACACTGACTAACTAGCCACGGTAATGCAATACCTCACACTTCGCCCAGTCCTCCTTCATGAAGGTGGGCAGCATGTTGGCGGCGACCCGGGCCTTAAAATTTGCGTTGAAAATAGACTTCTCCACTATTTATGAATACACTACCGACAATTTTTATTTATGCATATTATGCTACACAACAGACATACACAGAAAAATAAAAAAAATACGAACATGAATAATTAAACACCAGAAAATGTTTTCAAAATGTCTAAAGTATTATCTCAATAGTATATCAAGATGTCAGCATGCCATACAGCTGGCAGCAGAAAAAAACTCTATCTCACTACGCACTAGTGCATTTAGAGAGACATATTTTTCCATCTCAATTAAATAGCCCAAATATATGACATATTTCAGCATTTAATCAGCATCAATAATAATGGAAAGAATTAAGATCGAAAAACAAAAATTATTTATTGGCTACAGTCTACAAAGCATAGGTACATCCAACATAGAATGAGACATTCATTTGACGGTCTCGCTGGTCTAGCGGTTTAACACATCGCTTTACTTTCGATGGTCGCGGGTTTGATTCCTCGCACGGTGCAAACCTTTGTATTTATGAGTATGATTGTTTGTATCGATCTAGGTGGTTTCTACATATGTTATGCTACATGCATAGAAAAAAAATCTAAGTGTTTATATCAGTTGACTAGTATCCATAATACAAGCTCTGCTTTTCGTGGGACAGGATGGCGCTGTTTTAATTGTCCGAGGATATTTATTATTATTGTAATAAATGAAAATTGCTTTGCCGTTATCCAATTATTTGTTTATTTCAACAAATTGGATAAAAAAGATAATATTTTTCTTCTCCATTCCTAAATCACCTGTCATATTATGTATTATTATTTGTATGTCATCTTTCTCAAATCCTTTCTCCAATTCTCTATCCTTTAATTCATCGTTTGGTACATCACAAGTTCCATAATTTACCCATTTATTTATTTAAGATCAATGCACAAAATAAAATGTACATATAGCCACCTTGCGGCGTTATCTACCAGGCTACCATGAGTGGTGCGGAGAAAGATTGTTGGCGATGCACTATATGAATGAGACGTGTTAAAAAAAACATGTACAGCAAAATATATATGTATAAATTTCTATAAAATATAAAGATAAATATTATATTCATAATATTAATGAATTCCCTCAGCCACTGTGATGGTGTACAAAGTTATGAGTAACGCGAACACATGTTTGGTTAGTATTATGAACCACGTGTTAGGGTAAATTAAATAACATAAACAAAAGGTTACATCATCGTTGGCGATGTTGTAGGGAGTTGTTAATTACCCACACATACTGCAAGTATTGTATTGGCACAAGTCATTTGCTTTTACAAATAACATTTCTATTATTTGTACACTTGCTAATTCAATAATTTGTGACATCGACTTATGGCAGAAACCATCATGGGAGTAAATTCATAATCTATGGGAAATCTTACTAATATTACAACACTAAAGTTTGTGAGTATGGATGGATGTTTGATACTCTTTCACACAAAAACTACTGAATGGATTTGGCTGAAAATTAACAGTAATATAATATACATAACACACATATATAAATAACACATTGGCTATAACTTAAAAAGATTTGTAAGCTAGGCGAAATGTAATGCTAAACGTCAAGTGTGATGCAGACGAAGTTTCGCGGATAAGCAGGTATAATCATAAAATACATCGTATAGAATTATATTATTATAACTTATAAATATAATTATTTATAAATATTATTTATATAATTACTTAAACGTAACGTCTACGAAGTTTAGACAAATTAAAAGTCTCTTTGAAGTTAGTTGATAAATATTTGTTTGGCTTTAGATAGAAATAATTTTATTCAAATTAACTTAATATACTTTGGAATATACGTAATATTTTTTATTCTATCGCTCATTCATAAAACATCATAAGAGGAACGATCGAGAAACTTATGTTTATGCCTCTTTGTGTCATTTGAAACTTATTCTGAGAAATTGTTTAATATTATGTCTACAATCTATTGCTTGTGTATTTAGCAGAAAATTTACCTTCGAATTATACGAAGAAAAGAAACATATATATATGTATGTAAATTATTATTATTTAAGATTGAATTATAATTGAAATTACTACGATCGTTTAATGCCAGTTGCAATTACTATTGCCAGTTACAATTGTATACTCAAATGTATACTTGAACAAAATAAAAAATACATTTTTATTCTCTATGACTTTAAGCATCGTTTAAAGTCGTAATCAACAGTTAAACAGAAGATCGTGGTAAGTGGCAAGAGCTCTACAGACAAGAGCGTGGATCTTATATTTTGATCGACTGATTGACTTTAATACTACACTACCTAAAAAATACTGTACTATAATACCAAAAATTCCTGCTCTTTCAAATTAAGAAACTAATTAGAAAGTAGAAGACAACAGTAAACTAATTAAAATTTTGGCCATTCATGAATAATAATTTTGATTTTTTAATCGTGTTGACTAGAATCGAATAGAAAATCATTTATTCAAATAAACTTATATTGAAGCACTTTTGAATAGACATCACATTTTATTTAATCTACCGCTCATTCGGAAAGCTCTCTCATCACAAGAAGAACGAGCAGGAAACTTGCGTGTTGGTCTTTTTAATAATTTTTATTGTTATTTTTTTTTTAATAAGGTATCATCAAGAAATTTTTCAGTCAACTCTTGGCAGAGCAAGCGGAGCAGAATTTTCGTCATCTAGACTGCAAAATTAATAGTTTCATTTACGTTGTTACAGGGTCCGGAGCCGGCACTGAACTCAAACCCTGGTGGCGCCGCGAAGCCACCGCTACTCAACTCATTCGAGCTGGACCGCTGTCTGGACCGGTACATACAGTTGTTAGTTAATAGTTACACAAAGGTTTACTTTAACCCATTACTGCCTAAATGATCAGATATTGGCATTCAAGTTTGAACTATTGCCGTACAATGAGTGCGGCCAGAAAAATCTGAAATCTTTTATGTTTTCGAGGGTGCTCTTTCGAATGGTGAAGGTTATAATTTCGTTATATTGATTATGAATGTTTATCGGTAAAATTTCTTTATTTCAAAGACAAAGTAATAATTATATAAAAATTGCAGAAGGTCTCGGTGGTCTAACGGCTTAGCACACCGAATTACTTCTGATGATCACGGGTTCGATTCCTCGCACAGTACAAATAATATGATTGATATTGTTTTGGGTGTTTTCAATTAATATATTTACAAAAAAAATATTTAAGTTATCTAGTACCCATAACAGAAGCTTTAGTTGCAGAAGCAGAGCTAGTGTTATGGGTAATCCATCTAGTTCCAAGGTAAGCCTTGGGACTAGATAGTGCTGTATTAATTGTCTTTGGGTTATTATTATTATTATGTAAAAACTATAGTTAGCGTAAATACAATTTTGTAACCAACTTCCAAAGGGTCGATATTTAAAAATCGACATGGATATCGATTTTTTTCTATCGACTAAAAATTGAGGAAAAAATTGCTACAGAGACGAGTCCGGCAGGTGGGGCGGCGATGCGGCGCGGCGACGCCGGCGCAGCTCGCCCCCGCGCCGCGCCTCACCCCCTCGAGACCATGAGCCTCTTGCACTTGCTCGGGTAAACCCTTTTACATAACTACCCACCCACATTCCACAAAACAGTACCGCAGAGAGTAAACTGTATGTAAGGGAGTGAATGCTGATCATAGATATAAAAGTAACGAGAAAACTTAACTGAGTATATATTTATTCGAATTAGGTGTTATTTTGCGGAAGTCCATTCATCCAGTCCATTGATCGCCATTAGAGAAGGCCGTAATGGTAGTTGTGGTCGCACACATGCTCATTATAGTGGAATACACAAAATAATATAAATTCATTTAGTAGTAACTTAACTGAGTACTGTTATAGAGTTAAGTACTAGTTACTAAGGTAAGTAATATTATTATTAATATTATGTTTAGTTTCCTTTTAGGGGAAGCATACAGAATCGAGGGTCATAGCATTCATACATTTCTAGTTTAATCTACTTTCATAAGTTGTTATGACATACATACAATGCTTTTGGAAGTCTTCAACTCCTTCATTAGATAGCACACGTTCAATATAATCGTAATTGTCTTTACATTTTGCTGCAAGTTCTTTCTAGTCCTAGTTTTAACATGTTGCTTAATATCAATCATTCACAATTTAGGAGCTACGCTCTTATCGATGGAGCTCATGTCGCTTCCAACGATCTTCCCTTATCCTCTTTAAATTTTGTCTTCCTTAATATAACAATTCTTAATTTGTTTTATCCAGGCTTCAGCGCCTACATCTCCAGCGGGTGGCTCAGCACAATCCAGCCCTGCACCAGGCTCTCCCGGGGGCAGTGCAGGTGGTGCAGCGGGAGCGAGATCTCCTCTTCCATTGGTGCCACCAGACCTGCTAGCCATGCAGCTGTTAGATCAGCACTCTCAACTACAAGCGCTGATGAAGCAGCGATTATTTCATCAGCATCATATGCAGAAACAGGTACGAAATTAAATTTTTACATTAATTGGCCGACCAATGATTCACAGGTGAGTAATGGAATAGCTCTTATTATTTCAACTTTAATATTTTGATAAAAGTAAGAAAGAAGACAGGTTTATGTTTATTTTTAGTAACTTTCAGGTCATTAATTATCTAAAGATACATTTACAAGCTTTTGCATTCCAATATTAACTTAGGTCAGATCTTATCTTGTGATAAGGAAGGCAGTCCTATGCACATATCAAATGCATTATTGATCTAATTGTATTTTAAGAGATATATAATCATCATGATCATCATTGCCTTGCCTTTATCCCGTTATTTAGGGTCGGGGAAGCATGCTCTCTTCTTCCATTGAATTCGAATTAGCCATATTTTAAGATATATAGGTACAACGTCGACGGAAATTATGTAAAATTAAGTATGAGGGTTTTTTATTGTAAACATTGATTTATCTGCAGCATATGACTTCGGAGGCAGCAAAACGTCAACTAGAGCAATCACGTCTGCAGGATCAGATCAATTTGAATCTGCTGTCACAGTCTCATCTCCCACCACCTGATACTTCACCTGGTAAGTATTTCACTAAAGATACGATCTACATATATATTTCATATTTCATTTAACAACTTAAGTGTCCAGTTATTCTGAATTCACTGTTATATCTCACTCTACGATGACTAATACTTTTTGTTTAATAATGGAAGATAATTAATTATTGTCCATTAATGCATCCGCCTTAACTAGCGGTTCACGCGGGTGGGGCACCAATGGACAATGTTAAGATGAATATCAGGTCAGGTTAGTCAGTCCATCATGGGAAATTCACCTGAAATTTATCACAATGGTTACCAGGGAGTAAACATCAACCTGACAAAATGCATTGCTAGCAATGGTGACAATAGACAGCAGAAGTTTTAGAATTTTTAGTAATGTGGACATTACTAAAAAGTCTGTACAGTATATAAGTATTAACAATAATGCCTCGTTTATAGGATCTCTTCAACAGCAATTAGGTGCTCAACAGCAACAGCTAGTTCAACAGTTGCAAGCAGTACAACGCCAGTACCTGATGCACGGGTCCCTTCCCGTGCCACCCAATGCTCCACCGGGTAAGATTTTATTATATTAACGAAAAAAATTAAAGTCCAATGTATTTATTATTGATGGTTGAAATTTAAATCGAATAAATGAATAACACTGCAAGTTTAAATCAAAATATAAGAATTAATGTAAATTATATAATATGTATCCAAAAGACTTTATAAATGACAATAGAATTAATGAACAAAAACAATAACAACATACACTACAATCCAATGCATATTAAGAAAGAAAAAAGCTTAATTTAGTCAAGAATAAGTTGGCTAAATTAAGTAAACTCCTGAACTTTTGAACTTTTAGAATTATCTTTCGATAAATTGAGAAAAATTTATATTGATTCCTAAATTTGACCTTTTAGAATTAATTTTGATTAAAAATATTCAACAGATTTTTTAAGTCTTAAATAAATTATTTATTCAAATAAGAGTGATTATAATAAATTGTAATGCGAGACATAGTGAATATCTCATGTAAAACGGCGAAACTATTCACATCGTATACTGTAAAACTCGTACAGATAATAAGGTTATGGGACTGGAGACTAACTACTGATTTTAAAAAGATCATAAAAATGGGCTAATAATAATTAGTCAACAGTACAGACACAAATAATGTAAGAAAAGAAAAATTAAAATAGAAGTTTACTAAACTGATATTCTGTAAAATATTGTATAGGACTAATGTTATGGGGAGGCGAAATCGAGGAACATCCATTGTTTGGACGAGGTGTCTGCAAATGGCCGGGTTGCGACGCACTGGCTGAAGATTATCAAGCATTTCTCAAGTAAGTTCTCATATATATTCAATTTTGTATTATTAAACTATTATTTTAATATCAATATCAGTGATGTTATCAGTAACAGTATTTTTTTAGAAATTAGCATTAGCATTTGTTAATGTAAATATTCTCGATCTCATCAGTTTAAGACACTATTTTTGTATTAAATACCTGTAATATTAGAGAATTATTATCTTTTCTGTATTGTATATATTTATTTTATATACTGTATTTTATATATTATAGTAATTTATTGTATTTGTTTGAATAATTCGGCATAAGGATGAAAGATTTAAAACAATATTTCAATATAGTAAAAATATAGAGGGAGACAATAATTTTGAACAACATTGTTACCAGACATTTAGAAGCAGCGCATACTCTCGACGACAGATCTGCAGCACAAGCAAGAGTCCAGATGCAAGTGGTAGCGCAGCTGGAGTTGCAATTACGTCGGGAACGTGATCGCCTTGCAGCCATGATGAGGCATTTGCACGCAGCTAGGGACACGTCGCATCATGCTGCTAAACATCCTCATGGTGAGAACAAATAAAAAAAGTAGAAAAGGAAAAGAAACACTTAATTAAGTGCATATAAAATTGTAAGATATATACGTATAGACTATAGTTAATAAAAACATATAAAAAGAAGTCTCGACTTACCATAGACAGTGAAAAGACGAGGTAGATTTCCCTTTCACAAAAACTAGACTAACTACTATAGAATAGATTAGTTTAAAAAGGCATTTGATCTTCCAGTGAAATAGAATAGGCTATAAGTAATTAATTATAATGAAAGTAATACTTTTTTACTTTACATTTCAGGTACAGCCAGTGAAGGCGCTTCTCCAGGACCAGTTCGACGTCGTGTTTCCGATAAATCTGGTGTTGCTATTGCTGGAGGTATGTATGATCAGCATATCTATCATATAACATAGTTTCTATTTTATTATATACTCATAAATATTTAATCATTTTTATACAACAAGTTATCACCTAAATACAAAATTAATAAAGAGTAATATATGTTAGACTGTAGTATATATTTCTGTCTCAAAGGTCTTCCCTATATGCTCGAAAGAGCTGGATTAGATGTTCAACAAGGTAAAGTAATTGCTCAATGTTATCAAGCCCAATAGCTCAATTGTAGGTCTACAGTTTCAGAGTTATGTTTTATTTATTTTATTTTATATTATATCTAATATATTTTACAGAGATTCAGCGTAATCGTGAATTTTATAAGTCGGCAGATGTAAGACCTCCATTCACCTACGCTTCTCTGATACGTCAGGTGAGTTAATATCTTATTTGGATTTTTAACTGGCTTTTGATTAAGTAACTATACCATTTTTATTTCTATTACATTGAATATACATTACCTTTTTAAAACAAATATATAATTTCTTAGTGTTATTTAATCTGGCAATTACATAGTTTTGTACTTTTGATAGATACAATGAACATGAAAAATGTAGTTTCCCAAGGACTGTTACTGGAACCATAGTAATTTTGATGAATATTTTATTAAATTCATCTTCAACGATACTTAATTTATAACCTTTTTTGCTCTCTGTGTCTTCCATATATGTGTAACAATACAAATTTAGTAATTAATATTATTAATTAAATATTTTTTTATTGTTTTAGGCTATAATAGAATCTCCAGATAAACAATTAACTCTGAACGAGATATACAACTGGTTCCAGAGCACATTCTGCTACTTCAGACGCAATGCAGCTACTTGGAAGGTATGTCTTTAGAATACATTACTAAATATTTATATTTTAAAGACAAATGAAATATTTTATTACATGTATATAAAAATAATATGATTGTCATTTGTTATTATAATATATTAGGAAAAAGAAACACGATGACTATTAAAAACGTAATTATTATATTCATAGTAACTCTGTACAAGTTTATAACTGATGTGAGAGCAATACAAAGTAAACAATAAATCTAATACATTTTTTAAATCACTGTATTATCTGATGTAACCGTATGAAAAGGTAATAGTAGATTTTCGTACTATTTGAACTAGTAATAATTTTTTTTCAATATCTTCAAAATAGAAATATATAATATAAAACTGAAATTGTATATGTTAACTTTATTTTGAATTGAACGATATTGAAAAAAGTTATAATTATATATTTTTATTTTATGCCTACTTTATTTATAAGTGCTTTATTAATTGATGTTTAGATAATAATTATAAATAAGATAGTTAACTATAAAAAACTACTTAAATTTAATATTGCCGTAATCGATATCTATAAAACATTTTCTACATTACGTGTCATTAATAGAAAAGTATACTCATATGGTAAATGTACAGCAAAAATATGTTGTCACTTATCACATTTGGGGCTGCGAACGTCGTCACATAAGTGACGCGTGACAACAATTGTGACAACGCGCCCAATGTGAACGAATAAATACTAGAATAGTACGAAACAGAACGCGGTCCGTCACAACCTGTCGCTGCACAAATGCTTCATGCGGGTGGAGAACGTGAAGGGCGCGGTGTGGACCGTGGACGAGGTCGAGTTCTACAAGCGGCGGCCGCAGCGAGCCGCGCACGCGCCGCCGCCGCTCCACGCCGCCGGGTACGGGCCCCGCCGCCGCGCTCAGACCTGTTCTATGGCCGCCCGCACCACACGCGCCACACGCTCACCACACACTCTAAACAAACTACACATGACCCTACACTGCGCTCCACGCCGCCGGGTACGGGCCCCGCCGCCGCGCTCAGACCTGTTCTATGGCCGCCCGCACCACACGCGCCACACGCTCACCACACACTCTAAACAAACTACACATGACCCTACACTGCGCTCCACGCCGCCGGGTACGGGCCCCGCCGCCGCGCTCAGACCTGTTCTATGGCCGCCCGCACCACACGCGCCACACGCTCACCACACACTCTAAACAAACTACACATGATATCAAGCTACTGCACATGGCGACTCCCAACATTGTAATCAAACTACACATACACAAAAATATTAACTACTCACTGCATATATACACTCCCAACATGGTAATCAACACATATCCATAATCCACACTATACAGAATTTCAAAGCGCGAGATTATATTACTGTACACATGTGGGGTCGGTAGTAATTATAATGTAAATAAAATAGACCTTCAGCAAATGATATAATGTATATTAAGGAAAATTATATAAATCGATACTAGAAAATATTATTACAATTATAGTTGTATGTAGCGAGTGACGGATGACGTGAGAATATTTTATAGGTGAAAATATGGAACGTGTCTGTCTTGTCTGTAAGCGGCCAGTTGTCATGAAAAGAGGTAATGATGTGAAATGATTATAATACAAATATATACAGTACACCATAACACTCCCTTGCCGAGACCGTGTCACGGGCGATAGTAGTCCGGGAAGTGAACTGTCCTGCCGCTGCGTGTAGTACGTGGTCTCTCAGGTGCGGGTTGTGATCGCTGTTGTGTTGACGTAGAGTGCGGACTGGAGTCGTTGTCGCTGCGTGCCATATAAGCTGGTTTCAACCGATCTATGGTGACGGTAAGGTCCTTGCCTTGAACGTCGATCTTGTACGTCTTAGCTTCTCTTGAGATAACTCTATGCGGCCCCGTATAGGGTGGTTCGAGAGCTTTCTTGATAGGACCTCTGCGTAAGAATACATATTCTGCACTGGAGAGATCTTTTGGAAGGTAAAATGTTGGCTTACTGTGACACGATGCAGGAGTTGGTGTAAGCTTGGCCATATGTCTGCGCAAGCGAGCGACGAAATCCGTGGGATCGGATGTGGTGTTAGCAGCTGGAGTGAAGAACTCGCCAGGCAATCGGAGTGTCTCGCCGTAGACAAGTTCGGCTGCTGAAGATTTCAGGTCTTCCTTCCAGGCGCTGCGGATACCCAATAAAACCAGTGGCAGTACTTCGGTCCACTGTGGATTATTATGGCACATAATCGCCGCCTTGAGTTGGCGGTGTAGTCGCTCTACTATGCCGTTGCACTGCGGATGATAAGCAGTGGTGGAATTGTGTTGAGCACCGACCAGTTGTGAAATGTGCTGGAAGAGGTTTGACTGAAATTGTTGCCCCCTGTCCGTGGTTATGGAGTGCGGGCAACCAAAGCGGGCAATCCAGCCGGAAATGAAGGCGTTTGCACATGATTCTGCGGTGATGTCCACCAGTGGGTAAGCTTCAGGCCAACGAGTAAACCTGTCGATGGCGGTGAGGCAGTACCTGTAACCAGAAGAATGTGGCAAAGGGCCAATTATGTCGAGGTGAACATGAGAAAAGCGTTCGGATGGTATGGGAAATGTAGTGAAAGGTGAGAATGAATGACGTGTGACTTTGCTACGTTGGCAATCTGTGCATTGTTGAGCCCATAATTTGCAGTCACGTCGTATACCAGGCCATACATATTTCTGTGCAATTAGTTTGGCTGTTGCTGCTGCTCCGGGGTGACTTAAATTGTGCATGTTCTCGAATGCTTGTCGACGGAATGATGGTGTCAAGTATGGTCGATGATATGCCGTTGAGTGGTCACAGTACACATTCTCATCGGTCTGTCTTAAATCTAGTGCTGATCCTTTTCTGAGAAGATCTTGCAGTTCAGGGTCTTGAGCCTGATCGCGTGCGAGATCATCATAATTTATCTCATGCCCGATTTCTTCTATGCGAGAAAGTGCATCGGCCACAACGTTGTCTCTACCAGCAATGTGACGTAAATCTGTTGTAAATTGGGATATGAAGTCTAAATATCTGAATTGACGAGGTGAGCATTTATCTCGTTTTGTTTTGAATGCAAAGGTAATGGGTTTGTGATCAGTAAATATGACGAAATTTCGAGCCTCTAGCATGAATCTGAAGTATCTTATTCCTTCATATATGGCTAAAAGTTCACGATCGTAAGGACTGTACTTCTTTTGTGAAGATGACAGTTTGCGTGAAAAGAATCCCAATGGAGACCATATATCGTTCTGTCTTTGCTGAAGAACGGCGCCAATAGCTTCATCAGATGCATCAGTAAATAAGGCTAATTCGGCTTGAACATCTGGATGTGACAAGAGCGTAGCCTGAGAAAGACTGGACTTACATTTGTTGAATGCGGCTTCGTAGTCTTCGGTGACATTGATAGGAGTTGAACCTTTGATGTTTCCTGCGAGTTTTGAATTGAGGTCTCCTTGTATTTGTGCTGCATTAGGAATAAATCGTCTGTAGTAATTCAGCATTCCTAGGAATCTCCTCAATTCCTTGGCGGTTTTAGGTAGTGGATAACTTTGAATTGCTGTGATCTTCTCTGGAAGTGGGCGAGTACCGTATATGGAAACGTGGTATCCTAAAAATGTTAGCTCACTAACGCCCCAGACGCACTTTCCTGTATTGATTAATACGCCGTAAGCTTTGAATCTTTCGAACAGGATTCTAAGGTGTTGAAGATGCTCTTCCTGACTTCTGGAGAAGATAAGAATGTCGTCCAAATATCCGAATACAAATTCGAGTCCCTGTAGCACTTCATCGATAAATCGTTGAAATGTTTGGGCTGCATTTCTTAAGCCGAAAGTCATAAACGGGAATTCGAATAACCCGAAGGGTGTGGTGATGGCGGTCTTTGGAATATCGGCTTCATTTACGGGAATTTGGTTGTAGGCTTTTATTAAGTCAATTTTTGACAGTATTTGCGAACCTGATATGTGGTAACTGAAGTCCTGGAGGTGTCTGATTGGATACCTGTCAGGTATCGTCCGTGCGTTGAGTGCTCTATAATCTCCGCAAGGACGCCAGCCATCATCTTTTTTGGGTGCAAGATGAAGAGGTGATGACCAGGAACTCTCGGATCGCCGTGCAGTTCCATTCTGTAACATATCTTCAAATTCTTTTTTAGCTATGAGCAATCTGTCGGGTGCTAATCTGCGAGGCTGAGATGCAACTGGAGGTCCGGGAGTGGTTCGGATGTGATGTTGCGTGTTATGCTTCGGTTGGGTTAGTGCACCGGCAGGTCGTGTGATTTCAGGATACTGGCGCAGCAAATCGTGAAATGGTGAATCTCCTGTAACTGCTTTAATTGTAATTGTTTCCTGTGATGTATCTTAGCAATGAGGGGTTGAAATGGAGAGAGTGGTGAGTCCGTCTATAAGTCGATGATTGCGGCAGTCGATTAATAAATTGTAGTGACTTAAAAAATCGACTCCTATTATCGGCTTGGTAACGTCGGCCACGATGAATCTCCAATTAAAATCTCTTCTGAGGCCAAAATCAAGGTGCAGTTGGAGATAACCATATGTTGCTATGACTGTATTATTAGCTGCGAACAATTCATACCTGGTTTTAGGTCGTGGTCCTCTGGTCGCTGATTTTGGGAATACGCATAAGTCAGAGCCTGTGTCTACTAGGAACTAGACCTTGGTTTTCCTGTCAGTGACGAAGAGGCGGCCGTTGCATACTAGGCAGTCATTTGCCGCCACTACTGGCTGCCTGTGCAGTTTTCCGACTTGTATGTGCAGGGAGTAGTACATCGTCTTGCTGCAGCTCCGAAGGTTCTATGATACCAGCATACATCGTTGGTTTGTGATTTAGATCGGGAGCGGGATCTTGAATTAGTACGTCCACCATAGTAAGGTCTGCCTCTCGATCTGGAACGAGACTGATCTTGTTGCTTTAGTACTAAGGCTTGTACTTGGCTAGTTAACTCCTCTACTCGCTGGCACATGGTGTTGAACGCGGATTCCGGTACGGTTGACGTTACCTGTGCGATGGTAGGTGGTGCGATATCGTGTACATGATCAACCAAGTCGGCGGTGGCTTCAAGTGTGCTATCCTTTTGCAAAGCGACGATAGCCTGAAGGTTAGCGGGTAAGCGACTGGACCAGATAGTACGCAAAAGATCTTCACTTACTGCTTGTCCAGCGAGACTTTTCAGGTGACGCAAGAATTGTGAAGGCTTCCTGTCTCCGAGCTCTTCGTGCATCAATAATTGCTTAATTCTACGCTCCTTTGACGTGGTAAGTCGTTTTATAAGTTCGGATTTTAGTTTTTCGTACTTATCCGTAGGTGGTGGTGAAACAATTATATCTTTCACTTCGGCTGCGTACTGGTGATCGAGTTGACTGACCACGTAATAAAATTTTGTGGTATCGGCCGTGATGTTTGATAATGTGAATTGTCCTTCGATCTGAGCGAACCATACGGCTGGTTCTTCGGGCCAGAAAGGTGGTACTTTCACGCCAATTCGAAATGTGTCGGCTCCGGAATTGTTAGTATCGTTTGGTACATACCCGATTTGTTGTTCCATTATGTTGTATTTGTTCCAGTCGGTAGGTCACCAATGTGGGGTCGGTAGTAATTATAATGTAAATAAAATAGACCTTCAGCAAATGATATAATGTATATTAAGGAAAATTATATAAATCGATACTAGAAAATATTATTACAATTATAGTTGTATGTAGCGAGTGACGGATGACGTGAGAATATTTTATAGGTGAAAATATGGAACGTGTCTGTCTTGTCTGTAAGCGGCCAGTTGTCATGAAAAGAGGTAATGATGTGAAATGATTATAATACAAATATATACAGTACACCATACACATACAAAGCTTGCATAAATGCAAAGTTATAATCAAAATACGTATAAATATTTCCATACGAAATAGATATCTATTTTGCTGGCTTCATGAAAAGCGTTATACATTATATACTTCTAATCTCATAATGAATGTACACATACCATAAATACCAACACTGAATTGTATTTATCTTGACGTCTACATATACTACGCTACACACACACGACTCATACATCTACATATCAGTCACATACTCACAAGACTCGTACATATATATATTACACATTTCATAATCAAAGTAACAATAAATACAAGTAACACTATACAAATTACCTCGACGACTACATACACAACACTACATGTTATACACATACAAAACACATTTTATACTTATACAACACACTTACAACAATATAATAATTACAGTACACATTATTCAAACCCACAATAATCAGAAATTCCATAAAACATGCTATACACATACAAATCAAACACTACCCTTTTACAACTCACTACAGTTATATTATCAATATATACATACATATCTATAAATACAATCCATACTAAACAGTCCTCTTATAAATATAAAAGCCACGCCTTTTATATAAAAATGCACGTCTATGCAATTCAAATTTATGTAGTTGTATTTGTTTGCACAATGTTTACTATTTAAATATACACATTCAATTTGAAAAACAATCCTGGAGTTTACAATTTTACATATACACATAACACATAAACTGATTATCCTCATACATTCACCTGTACACATACCAAATACAATGAAAATAACAATTGTCACACAACACATACATCTGAAACTTTTCTCAAAACACCCACACAGTTTCACAAAAAAAACCTACTGCAAACTATAATAACAATAGTTTTTTTTTAAATACTTATACAAACTGTATGACTAAAATACAAACCCAATATGTACATCATACGAACTCGAAACATTTTGCAATTGATTCTGCAGAATTTTCATATTAGTTAATTATTAGTTAACATAAACATAATACTACACAATAATGATTGTTGTTATCATCAGGACATACACAACTTATAATTTTACAACACAACTTAAAATACACTTCCATATAATGACTAAACAAAATACATATCTTGGTCGTAACTCATATTACACATTCAACACAACTATCAATAAAATATAAACATTAATTAAAATTATTACAATAATAACAATTTACAAGTATATTCATGAACACATCACAGAAATGTACTAATAATAATCATTAAATTATATTAAACACATGAATCATAATATTACTCTAAACCAAACATTATAATTTGTGTACATATAATATTTTTTAATAAATTAAAAATAATTACCACTATAGAATTTACAACTAGTAAAATTTAAAAGAAAGATATTATACTCCTAATTAAATATTATGTTTAAACAATAAAAAATATCTATTGGGTAGAATTTATGTGATCGTATATACATACATTCTCATTTTCATTATAATCTATAAGACAATTATTATTAATTAAATATTACTATTATCCACAGATAGTAATAATAACCTACATATTTAAAATTATTTCAATTGCTCACATTAAAAAAAATCCATAATAAAATTAGCTAATTGCTAACATACAATAACACAAAACACAACAACACTGAACAATTTTCACAATTTAATATTTTAATCTTCTCTTAAATATTTTCTATCTAATCTAGCGATGTATCTAACTCTTATTGTGTAAATAAACGTTTTATCTCGTTACAGATTTGACTTGTAATTATTTGTGTAGATTTTGAATTGAATTTGTAAGTAGTGCTATAACCAAATACACATACATTTCTCCATTGGTTACGGCACTACAAAATGTGAAGGTCTTGTATTTTTCGTATTTAGGACTACTCGTTATTTGTGTGTGTACGTGGATTTCAGCAACGGTGAATAACGTTTTTCTCGCTTGCCTATTAACCTTCCTCCTGTCTTTCCCTTCCTTTGGGGTCTCTCTTCTTGGGCCATCGAACCCTGCATGATGAATCATTATTATAATATATTCTCCACGACGATCTTGCTATGCATCTATCGTTATTTCATTAAATTCATTTTGATTAACAAATACAAAGAATCAAAGATTCATGAACGATGGAGGCATGGTCGAAATAGATAAGTTAATGAGATGGGCGCCGGCCCTTTTGGCCATATGTGAAATTTGTTCTAAACGGCGATGAATTATAGAATGCGATCCGGACGAACCTGTCACTACACAAATGTTTCGTGCGCTACGAAGATGACTTCGGCTCGTTCTGGATGGTGGACGACGCGGAGTTCGTGAAGAGACGGCACCTGAGCCGCGGCAGGCCCAGGAAGTATGAGCCCGCGCCGGGCGCCAGCGCTCCGCCACCACAGTAAGGGCGCCGCCGCATCCCGAAGTTGCGACCGTCCAACGAATCTTTAGCCATTTCGCATTTTTCAGTCCACAGTCTGCACTATTTTCTTAAGAATTTTAACAAACTCTCGAATATATTGATTCAAAATGACACGAATTTATCAATTTATGAAGCTATAATTTTTTTTTTAGATATCTGTTTTAAAATTTCTAAGTTTAATATATAAATTATTTTCATTTCCTTTCTGTATTTAAGATTCAAAATGCAGATATGATCAAATTTTTAACAAAGTAATACCGCCCTATAATATTTCATCAAATGATGTTTGAGGTCTATATTTCTTGTCGGATCTAATGGTATCAAATTTGAAGTAGTGCTGTCTTGGATATTGGAACTAATGAAAATGCGAAAATTTTATTTATTTGAATTTGAAATGTACATTTCCCTGAAGCGGAGAGTCTAAATTATTAAAGTTTTTCTATTGTAATAAGATCATTTATCCAATATTTTGAATGGATTAAACTTCTTTGATATAAAACGAGAATCGTTGGACGATCGTGTCCAAAATAGCGTTTTGTATGTAAACGATTAAAAATAGCCTAAAATTATCAAAATATTATTGCATAATGATAATTTTAGGTGCATAATATTAGATCGATGTTTCTGACATTATGTAAAGTGTATCACTGTGAAAGTTTAGATTAATTAAATTGTCATGTTAGAATGTAACTAGAACACGTGATTGTTCCAATATAAATATAGTTAATTATGAGCTGGTGTCTGCTTGGAATTCTATTTTTAATAAAATCCGTATAAAGTACGTCATCAATATAAACAAGCATCCATCAGTGTCATAGACTCTTAGAGTGCAAAGCTATAACCGATTGTTTTGCTATATAGTTTTTAACATCACAATATAATATTACTTGTTTAAAATTAGCTTAATTCATATGTTGCTAATGTAATTTCCAATATTTTCTTTTGATTTGTATTTGATGAAAAGCCTTAAGGTGCTCGACGTTAAGTGAAAATGTCTACTTGATACGATATGCATGTATTTAAAATTATTGTAAACGAGGATCGTCGTTGGACTCCCAAGTAAGATTAAAGAGATCTTTTAACATTTTTTAATCCCTTCTAACTTTTGCATGTATAAGTATCCAATTTCTAACATTTCAGGTAAGTGTTTGGCCTATTCGCTTTGCATGTGCATTTTTGTCGCACGGTAGATGTATATTTTTCTTAAATTTATCAATAAGCTTGCCTTTTTATACTATTTTATTCTATTTATCTTTCTCTATCACACACAAACACACATCTCATATATACACTTACCACTTCTACAGACGAATTGGACTATTTTATTCAAAATTCAACACTCCACAATTTACACCTTCACAAGAAATTCTTTCGTTAAATAATTAAGGGATGGTTTTCAACCATTATTTTAGAAGAGGTCTGAAATGGCCGGGGTATGATTTTAATTTATTATTTATTTTTAAGTCAATGATGTTACAGTTCATTCCTTTATTATTTCGAGTCATGTCTTTACAATGAAAATTTAGTGTGGTAAATATGATAATAAATTAAATAAGGTTTTATAAATGCAAACAAAATTATATATTTATAGTATACAAATAGAAATTTGCAATAGTCTTTCTGTTCGACAGATTTATGGGAGCCCAAAGCCCTCCAATGATGACCAGCCCGCATGGCTATAGTGAAGCGCTCAAACGAAATCTTCAGGTATATATTACAATACTATGATCATACTATGATATGATTCTTTGACATAATAAAATACTATTATTAGTTAAAATTAAAAAAAATTCACTATCACAAAAATAGTCTGTAGCATTTAATTTTTCCAACATTGGATTTACAGAATGAGTCTAATTATCATTCTGTAAATCCAATGTTGGAAAAATTAAATGCTACAGACTATTTTTGTGATAGTGAATTTTTTTTAATTTTTAAATTTGTTACTCTGTTGTTATATGTGTAATTATCAGTCAGCCTAATTAAAATTTAGTGTATTAAATCAACTTTTTATTTTTATTTTTTACAGTTTACGTTAATTTGTGATCATGTATATATACATCATCGTTTATTTTTATACTAATGATTACATATCTCTATTCCTCTAGGGTATGATGGAAGATTGCAATTTGTCGTACATGTCCGGTGAAGATCATATGATGCAAACTGACGAGTATCCATCATCTCATGAAGATTACAGGTATATGGTTTATTATTAGAGCAGCAGCAATAGTAAATTTGCAGCTGAAACTGCAAATCAGCAAATGGGGTTTTAGGGAAAGAGCTTAAAATATATAATAAACTTCCTAAGGAATTAAAATCTATAAACAATATACATCAATTTAAAACTGCTCTTAGAAATATATTAATAGAAAAAACATGCTATACAATTGCAGAGTTTCTAGCTGATATATATCATTCTATACACATAACGTAATACAACGATGTCCACTGAACAAAATTTGTCAAGTTGCTGGGCCGGGTCAATGTGTATCTTGTGTTACTGTCACTACATTTTCCCTAATTAAATTTAAAAATATATCTGTATTTCTGTAATCATGCACAAATTCATTTGAAAAGAATAAGATCTAAGTTTCTTGTCAGTGCTCCCTAGCACGAGAGCACTCAGAACTGGCGGTAGATTTGACATATCATAAGTATCTGTAGACATACATAAATAATGATATTTGATTTGATATTCAGTAATTACTATTTTACAATATTGATGTTTATTACTAACATTTGGAAATGATCTTTTCAAACTTTGTTTTCAGTGGATTGTTGTTTATTTTGATTGGATTGTTTATTTCCTGTCTATTATTAATACAGTTAAACAGGTTTTAATACGAATAATTTTATCGTAAATAAAGATATGTTCAAGAAAAGGCATTTTACCTGCACCTGTACCGTTACCTTTATCTATACATATAAATAAAATTGGAGTGTCTGTTTGTTGTAATCTTGAAATAACCGTTTTTTTTACATGCATATGAATATAAATACGAAACATACACCAAAACAACATTTTTTACAGTTTTTGTCTGTCTGTCTATCGGTCTGTTTGTTCCGGCTAATCTCTGAAATGGGTGCACCGATTTTGACGGGACTTTTTTTGGCAGGTAGCTGATATAATAAGGAGTAACTTAGGCTACTTTTATTTTAGAAAAATAAAGTTAAATTTCACGCGGACGAAGTCGCGGGAACAGCTACTTTACCATAAAATTGTTCTTGTTAAAACCCGTTTAACTATATTAAAAATGAATACTAAACACGAAAGTATAAAAATAAGTTCTTCTTGCGTCTCTATTGCTACACATGTACAGTTAGATACACAATTCTCTTTATCTTCAGTCGTCCTCCCATAATGAATGGATACGGTAGCAGCAGTTCATCTCATGACGTGAAAGCGGAAGATTTAAGTGCATCTGACGCACAGGACATCAAGCCGAATATATACGCGCTCAAGAATGAGATGCAAGCTTCTGATTATTCCAATAAAGGTGACTAAACAAAATATATTCATTGAATTTCAAATTTTACTTAATTTCCATAAAGACATGCATCTTTTCTGCAAGTTAACTTACAAGAAAAGTTGTGACAATATTAAAATTTAATAATTTTAAATTTAAGTAAATGTAATCAATTTCATTTGTCTATTTATGTTTAATCAATTTCATTCTAACTGGCCTCTTAGTGTGACTAGACTGGATAATTGAGTGAAGTTCTTTATTAAATCGCTAAACTCTATCAGAATATTTTGAAGATAACGGACAATTTTCTTTTAAATATTATTTTAAGAATTTCTAAATTGATAGAAATAGAAATAGAATTAGGTAATATTTATTCAAATAAACTTAATATTTTCAAACTTTTAACACTTTTGAATAGTCAAGTTTTTTGATTCTACCGTTCATTCGGAATGCAGACTCATCACAAGAAGAATGTAGATACTATAACTTCATTTATTTTTATTATTACTTTATTTTACTTAATAACACGTAAACATTGTATTTTTTTCTTTTGTATAACATTATTATATTTAAACTTACGGCATAATATATGTTAAAAATGTACTTGCTTTTCTTTTTTGTATATTGCAATTTTATATAAAACTTACAAATTCACTTCTCTATAAAAAAATATATAAATTGTAATGTTATTTGTATTGAATTGTAAAACCTATTCATTTATTAAATTTCAGGCGATTACGCAAATTCCAACAAGGAGTCTTCAAGCAATAGATCTGGCGAGACGAGCCCCTACGACGACTACCCTCGTTCTGAGGATAGATACAGAGCCTCCATATCTCACATCAAGGACGAAGCCGAGAATCTATCCCTCAACGAGCAAAGATCTGATAAATAAACTGGCCGAAACCAGTTCGAACCAGTTAAGTGTTGCGAAAAGTGGTTATATCCGGTTATTAAAACCGTGCTATCGATGGATTGTATTAAAAACGCAATGTGAGTCGTGATTTTTTTGCGTAATAATATTTAGAGCTATAATGTAAGTATCACAGTATGTAATACTTTATATTTACGGGTTTAGATCTATTTCAAGTTATTTAGAATGGTGTTCTAGAACGTGTAATGTGTTCACTGTTGGACTTTTTATATTTGAATGGACGATCTCCGTACGAGGAATTGTATAACTGTAACCAAATATATTTTTTGTTCATTTTTTTATCACCCGGTTTTAACGGGACCCTTTGAAGTATTATAGGTTTTAATTATTTTATTTCTATTCGCCTTACGTTTAGGTTTGGTAGCTGTAATTCAGATATTTGTTAGTGATCTATTTATAGTGTATCTAAGTGTTAGAGAAATTTAGGCAAAGATGTGCGAGTGAACAGCCAATGTCGAGTAACCTTAAAAGGTCCATATCAATATTTAAAAATATTTAATCATCTTGTAACATACAAATAGTAAGAACAATAAGTAGTTGTATTAAATTATAATAATACATACGGTACATAAACGTTAGAACATACATTATTACGCATAGCGTTTCAGTTTACGCATTTTTATATTCATTTTAAAGACACACCCACTTTTTTGGAATTGATTTCAAAGATCTCATTTTAATTTGCAATAAATGATATATATAATTAATAACTAATACACTGAGGATTAAATATACAGAGTGGAAGATTTTCAGCCAGTGCTCAGTCGTAAATGATAAAAGCATGCACATAAACACGATATTTCGATTAATATCGTTGTTTTTTTGGTCCTTCGAGCCGATTTTTATTTTTTGTATTGTTGATATTTCTGTTTGACTAATGCAATTTAGCTGATTGTGGTAATGCATTTAAACTTACACTCTGTAGAAATATTATCCTCTATGCTAATAGTACATTATACACTAAGGGATGAAATAATGCGGTTAACTAGTGTGAAATTTAATACATCAACCTCAAAAGGCGAGTTTCCAAATCACACAAGTTTAAAAGTAATATAAGAAATATATATTCTCATCTGTTATTTTATAATGACGATATTTTTCTATTAGATTTATGAATCGTAGATGAGATGGCTAAATCCTGGATCTATAGTGTTAAATACACAGTTTAATTATTTGTCAACATTGTTAACATTATTATTATTAAATACCAGATGAGGGTAGAAATTTCTTATGCCTTAGCTATACTTTCTCCCGAGTGATACATAAATATTTTATGTCACACCTCCTAGGAATATTAAAGATAAAAACAGAAAGATAAAAGATAAAATTGTGATTTGAAATTAAAACTTTTACACGCATTTATTATGCCTTTCTAGGAGATATTGAAAAATAAAAAAATAGAAAAAATAAATAAACTCTTTCACTTTTTATCACCGCTTATGGATTGTCATGTAATTACCCAACTACGTTCATTTTTTCATTCTTTCTTGCATTTTAGTGCATACAAACTATCAGTCGTTTTTTAAGAGTAAAATATTTCCAATTAGGTGTGATATAAAAATATATTTGCAATTATTTTAAAAACAAACTTGGTATATTTTTGTATAAGTAGTAATTATTTTGTGATTTATTTAATAATGATCTGAACGTTTGTGTTTAAAGAAATGGTTATGTTATTTTTTTTATTAAAATTTTCTAAAATGTCTACGATGTGTATACGTGCCATAGACTATATGTGGTACCAATTTATTTGATTCCAAGGAATTGTATTTTCGTTTTAATTTTCGCTAGCATAAGAATTAGAATGTAAATATTTACCATGATTGTCATGAATTGTAAATTCTTTAAAATATATTTGAAAAAAAAAGGTGTAATTTAGACGCGTGTAAACGTTTATATAATATTATTATTGCATTAAATCGTTCATGTTGTAGAAAATTTAGATGAAAATTTAGAGATTAGTAAAAATTTTCACTGTACTGTTTACCCATTATGTCCGATACATAAATAAAAAAAAACTCAAAACTCTTATGTTGTCTCTTTCGTTCCATGCATTTTCGAATATTGCATTTATATAAAAAAAATGTTATATTTAGTGAATATAATATAAACGAATAGGTTTTTTGAATAATGAGAATTTCAATAATCAATCGAATAGTTAAGTAATGGGTGGAAATAATCATATCACATCTATGTATGTATACCTATTATAAATGGATAGATAATAAATACGGTCGGTAATATTAAATGTATATCGAATTTGCAATAACTTTCATGAATGTATGAAATAATATCTTAATACAGAATGTAGTAGAGACAGCTCCATTTCCTACCTATAATTTTTTTATACATTTGTGGTAACATATTAAACATAATATATACATACGTATAATAATTATATGCATGTATATGTCTTTGGATATATATATATACAATGACATACTGCGCTGACCCCAAATAATGGGATAAAGGCAAGGCAATGATGTTAATATGTATGTTTGTTATGTACAGTATGTTGCCACACATTATATTAGGACTAAAATAATAATGGGTACAGAAACAGAAATATAATCCCATTACATTTTAATACATGCAACACAACACAGACATTTTTTTTAAACTTAAAGACTTGTAAGTTTAATTATTTTGTTTGATGTTAAAAATATAATTAAATTAATAATTGGGACGTTATAAACTATCACGCACAAGGCCTATCACGGTTGTCATATGATAACGTGATATCCATGTTGCTTATCACATATTAATAGCTTGGTAATCCAATTACAAAATTACTCCTATTCTAAGAATCTGAACAACCTGCGCCTATTATGCAATTTTAGTCCTAATTATAATGTGCTATTAGATACAATTTACTGTGATTTCAATCTGAAATAAAAGATTATTTAGCATTTTAAATTATGTTTTAATACACATAACATTACAAGTTCTAAACCAATGATAGAAAAACCTTGTAATTATTATTTACCTAAACAAAGTAGGACCAACACAGGAGTGGTTACTTTAGTTTTCGATTAAACAAAACTTCAACAAATGATAGAATATTGAAATTATAGATTTTGAATTTAATTTAATTGGTAATATATATAGTATTAATATAAATATATATTTTTTAAGAATATCCTTCAATTCTTGTCCCTGATGGGTCTAGGTACCGAACTCTGAAAAAGGGCGAGCACAATAGATCTATGCAAGTCGCATATTACAGGTAGTAACTTCCTAAAAAAAATCATATTCACTTTAGCCGCTTATGAACGTCAATTTTTTTTTGTATTTTTACTTTCTCCCTATCTGGACGGTATACAGTTCAATATATATACAGATTCAATTGAGAAGAACTGGCAAGGAACTCAACTGAATTTCTTATTTCTTTAAAACCAGTTTATTTACATTGTTTATTTATGTAGGTCTTTGGCTAACATGAAATGAAAATTCCGTGCATGAACAGCTATTACCATGCATGTGTCTCCGTTAATTCTCAACCGATGTTGATTATTCCTTTTAAATTTAATAGAATGTAATCCCGTGTTGGTTCTTTATAAATTTGTTAAACTTAAAGTCGATTTTGATGTTACATTTTGTAATTATTGATTACTTTGTTTGGACGTTTAATTTTGGCATTTCTTGTTGCATATATTTTTGATGTTTGATACAAAATAAAGTTATAATTTATATTGTGATTTACATTAATTTTCTATACCGATGCAGTACAATAATAAAACTGTTTTTTAAATATATATATATTGTCAAAACCATACCAACTGTAATATATACAAGTAATGTATTTAAAAAGGAACTCGACTGCATTTATAATATTTTATTTGTTATTGTTATATTATTAGATACTTATGTATTTAATGTAACCCATTCAATAAAAGCGTCTTTGTTTTTTTTATATCCTAGAAATTTAGACTTCAGTCTTAGACTCTATTTAAAAACTATAGAATTATTATCTATAAATACAGATACACAATTATAATATATAAGTCTACAAATAAAATCACGTAACATATATCTCTATATTGGATACTTATGTGTTTATACCACAATGTGAATATAGTCCACAGATATACAGAAAACTATATATAACGCAAGTAAATAATTTCTATAGAAAGCAATTTCAATAAAACAAAATTTGAATATATATGTATATTATTGGCAACTATTCAATAATTTTAAATAAATAGATAATTAATATATATGTAAGTTTTTTGTTCGTATTAATTATTTTACAGCAACAAACAATTACATTTCATTAAAAAAAAATTATATAATCCAACGCGATACATTGAAGCAGTGAACCCAAGTTACTGGTAGCCTCCTTGAATGGCCATGCTTACCTTCTGGTCAAAGTGCTACCAGCTCTCGGTTTACCAGTGACATCTACGAGCCGTTCTGCCATCTCTGTCTAAAGTATATTAATATTAGTAATAATATAAACCCTGAAGCTATTTGACTTTAGAAAATCTATGTTGGAAATGTAATATTTAAGTATTATGTAAGTATAATATTATTTTGATTAATTTTCTACGTCATAAAATTAAAAAAAAAAAATTAAAATCAAGATGAAAAGAAACATTTGTTTCTAAATTTCTAAATTTCGAAAATATCGAAAAATTTAGGTTTTTGAACGTGCAAACGTAATAGATAGATGAAAATGTCGTTTAACGATGGCGATGGCTATAAAATATCACAAAACTGTTATTTTCAACTACAGTCAACAATAGTATCTATTAAAGTGTAAATGTATTCAATTTATCATATTTCCGAATACTTTATCTTTCTATAAAGATCTATTTTCAAGATTATTTTAAAACCAAAGTAAAGAGATTGTAATTGCGATATCTATTTGTCTGTATGTCTGTCATACATTCCTATATATGAAAAATATACATACCGACGGAAGAAAGTGGAATTGGCTAAACTCAAAAAACCTAACTTTACAAAAATTCTTTTATCTCAAAAAATCTTAAGTCATACAATTATATATCGAGACAGAAAGTTGAAAATTAGTAAGTATTTAATGTAACCAATTTTCAATTTTTTACCTCCATAAATATTATGAATTTTTTAAATAGTTTCTTGGCACTGGTGTCAAGCTGGGTTTATTAATTTATGAATATTCCACTACCTTCCGTCGATATATACAATAATGTTGTAATACAATTTTCAAGTGCAGTCGGGTAAAACCGTTTAGAAATATTTAATTACAAATTGAATTGATTAATTTTTATAATTAGTTTATGTTTATTGTACCGATTAGCGGTTTCTCGCTCTGTGGTGTATCATATTGGTTCCTGGGATATATCTCAAGTGGGAGTGAGTAAGAGCTCATTGATATGTAATGCGTGCGAGTGAGAGATCCTATCGTTGAGATATATCTCAGGATCCATGGATGGCTGTTGATGCCCTACCTGGGCAACGAATACATTTATTGATCATTGTAAATTATATACTTAATTAGTGTTGTATTAAACCAAATCATTACAATTAATGTTTCGTTTCATTTTTCATTATATAGGTCTTTAAAAATAAATAGTATAAAATATCCTCATAATAGTAATTTCAAATATAATTAAAGAGAAAATTAAAGTTTGCCAAAGAGGCATCAAAAGGGATGAACACTGAAAGATCGTCTAACGAT